AGCGCCACCGCGCTCCCAAGCGGCGCACTGTAGCAGTGCGCCACCGGGCCGGCCCATATATATGAGTGACTTTTTAAAAAATATTATTACAGTTTTTTAAAAGTGCTTAACTTTTTATAAAGTTTCCTCATTGTATGCTTTTTATGAAAGTTACTGGACTTTTTCAAAAAAAATTTTTTTTTTTTGATAGACTTTCAGAATGGTTTGAGGCTGGAATATTAAAGGGCTTCCTTATATAACATTAATATTCCAGTACTGCAGTTGGCAACACTCTGATTCTAAGGAGAGTGCATGAGTTCAAGGTCAGAGAGATTGACTTGTGCTGTTCATTATAACCAATTATTCTGTGACAAATGAGTTTGAGATCAGGCTGAAAATTCTGTACGAAAAATCAATAGTTCTAATCAGGGCCTTTCAGGTCATTTACACCCCACCTTTTGTTGGTTTGTCAGGGAAGAGCCAGATAAAACCCTTGTGACAGCTAGTCCTCCCTGCTGTTACCATTCCCATTTGAAACATATTTTGATATCTGAAATGAATAGTTTAATTGGTTTTAAACTTGTAAATGAGTAGAAATTTACATTATTTCGTTTTTAATATTCTGATAAGATTTTCCAAATTAGCTTTAGCTGTGTAATTTTTTTCCCCCCTCCCCAGAGGAAGGAGTTATACTTAAAAGTCTTTAAGCAGATTTTGAATGACTTCTTTCAAGTACTGAATTAAAGGGTTTTGGAAAATGCATTTTCTTAGTTTGTTGAAATTGACTGGAATGGTCACCTTGCTTTCAACAGCAAAGTAAACTGTGTATGTTTTCCATTTTAGTTTCCTGATGAAGATGAAGAAACGAAGCTATATCGCTTGAAGATAGAAGAACAGAAGCGCCTAAGAGAAGAAATCCTGAAACAGAAGGAGTTACGACGGCAACAGCAAGCTGGTGCCAGGAAGAAGGAGTTACTGGAAAGGCTTGCGCAGCAGCAGCAGCAACAGCAGCAGCAGCTCTACGCCCCACCACCCCCAGCAGAGCAGGAGGAGCAGACAGCCTCACCTTCACCCACCAATGGTAACCCACTGTTGCCCTTTCCAGGTGCACAGGTCAGACAGAATGTGAAAAACAGACTTCTTGTTAAAAACCAAGATGTCACTGTTTCAAATACTCAGCCCAAAATGTCAAATTTTGTACCATCTGTTGCTAACATGCAGTATCAAGGACAGCAGATGAAGCCACTGAAACATTTGAGACAGGCCAGAACAGTACCTCAAAGTCAAGCTCAGCCGTTGCACAAAGTACTTCAGATAAAACCTGCCGATGCGGAAGAGCCACCTCACCCCCAGACAGCCCGAGTGACATCCATCCAGGGCCGGCCCCAGGACATAAAGCCTGGTGTGAAAAGGACTGTCATGCACCGAGCTAACAGTGGTGGTGGAGATGGGCCACACCTCAGCTCCAAGGTCAGGGTGATTAAGTTGTCAGGCGGGGTAAGTTGACAAGTTTTATGAGTACCTCTTTGAATTTGTGTTTTATTAAGAATGTCCTAATTTCCAGGGAATGTTTTTTTTGAAGAAAGAGAATTAAAAATTGCCTTTGTTACGATCATGTAAACCA